TATCCCACACGCGACACACTGTATCACACCCACGCACACACTATCCTCGCCTACCACCTAAGGCGGCTATGGCCGCTCAACCCTGCTGGCTATGGCTACGCAACCTCTACTCTGCCCACTTCGTCTTCGGGCACTCTGCAGACCACCTCACACAAGTCGCTCAAGCAGCGCTTCCGCATGGCTCACGCAGGAATGAATGAATGGCTGGCCGCTGCCTCTTGATTTATACTTCTGTTTGTGGCTGGTCTGCCTCTTTTCCACCGGGCCCTGAGTGCACACGGTCCCACATGGTACTTCCTGACTGGACGAAGTGAGACTGGGACTGGGTACCGCTGACTCAGCATGGGTGAACCTCACCACTCAGCATGGGTCCCACATGGTACTTGCTGACTGGACGAAGTGGGACTGGGACTGTGAGCAACGTTTGAAGGGCCACTTCCGGACCTTCTGTGGATTTGGCCCTTCGACACTGTAGCAGCTACGACCTTGACCTTTCAGGACTGTTGCAGCTACGACCTTGACCTTTCAGAAATTCTACAGCTACGACTTCTAGAACTCACTAAGACCTCTATCCGACAGGTCTACAGATCGAACCCCTACAACCTATGGACCCTACGACAGCCTACCAACTGTTATGAATACACAGGTCACGGGTTCAACACATGGGGTCGACACAGGTAGTGTACACAGGTAAGGTAAGGACTAGGGATCGAGCCCTGGGATCTGCATTCGCTACTGCTAACAGGTCAATACCGTTTCAGGAAAGAGAAAATGGTTTGTGTGTGGAGTGTGTTGTAAATTATCAGCACAGCAACCCCTTTTCCACCCAGATGCACAGGTCCAAAATTGAAACAGCTTCACCCCTATAGCAAACAACACGGGGGACACTAAGATGCGCCAATCCAAAATTGAAACAGCTTTACCTCAAGTGAGTGTTAGTTGGGAATGGGGGCAAGGAGGGAGGCGGGGGAGGGGGGCAGGGTCAGACAGAGAGACAGAGAGAGGAAGTTCCTCCTTGCTTCTCATCTCTTTCTTTCGAAAACAAAAAGAACAAAAGGACCCTTTTCAGTTTTACCTGTTCAGGTCTGGGGCCCTTCAGTCCAGTAATCACTTTTCCCTTCCTTTTCCACTGATATGCTGGACATAAACTACATAGGAAAGAAGTTCCAGGCAAGGCTGAATATCCGGTACCACCGGGGCCCCCTTCTCCCACCGGAACCGGGCCGGTGGTACCGGCTGGTGGAGAGCACCGGTTCCCCGCCAGTTGCAAATTGCGCAATTCGCTGGCGGGGGGGTTTCAATTTTTTTGGCGCCAGGAGGCCTCCATGCAGGTCGTGGAGGCCTCCCGGCCCCAAAAAAAAATAACCGGGTCCGGTACGCCCGCCAGATTATTGAAAACCTGGCGGCCTATTTGAGCTGTCTATCTGGTGAGATCTGCGGCCCATAGGCCGCCCGTTTTTGAACATTCGGGCGGGAAACCACCCGAAGTTCTTGGCTAAAAGGGCCGTTACGATTCAGACCCCTAAATGAGACCCCAATATAAAAGGGGCCCTGTCGGCCAGAATTCCATTTCACGAGCAGCCTTCTAAGGACAAGTCCCTTGAAGCAAATGTCGCATCCAGAATGAAATGAAAAGTCGTTTTGAAAAGTCACGGACAGGTCCTACACGAACAGGTGCTGGCTTCAAATTTTAAGTCTGAGACAGGGTCATGTCTGTTCGGCAATAAGTCAAAGGTCACAGTCCCAAGGGTCAAATCTGATTAAGATCAGGAGTCCAAAAGACAGGCCCGTCGGCCAGAGCAGCAGCAGACCATGGGAAAAGATACTGGGACACACACTTTGCAACAACAGATACTGGGCTGTAGTCCCAGGCACTTGGAGGCCAAATGCAGACCACGGCAGACCAGTCCAACGCTATAAAGGACAGGCCAGCCTCCCCATTCCGCAGATACTCATTCGCATGAGAGTGTGGAAGTGCTGAAGGCACTTGTGCGCCAGATGTGATTGAGCTGCGCCAGGCTTGAGAGCTGTGCTGAAGGAAGAGAGAGCTGGGCGCTGGCTGGAAGGAAGGCAGCCATAGCTGCGCCAGTGCCAGTTAGTATTAGTGGTAGGAATAGTTAGTACAGAAGACCAGTGAGTAGTATTCAGAGTAGGTCCTCGTGTGATAGGGAGTGTATATGCATGGAGAGTGTGAGTAGACCAGGGCTATAGACATTGAGAGAGAAGAAGAGATCAGAAGAAGAGAAGAGAGAGAAGTGAGCTATGGTGGAACTTATCTGTTGAGCGCTGTTCTTAACGATTGGCTGATGGCGCTGATAAGCGCCAGGCTTGGAACTCTTGTTGGATGAAGAAGATTTGTGATATTGTTGGCCGCTCTACTTTTTGAACTTGTGATTCTCTTTCTTTAATCTGGTTACGAAAATTGAGTTGCGCTTCCTGGTTTCCACTCATCTTTCATTGAACTTCGTGTGAGATATTGCAATCTGTGTGATCTGTGTTACATGCATGCTATCTGGTACACCCCAGCAAGTGACGAACAGACAGGTTCCTTGCAATTTTGGTATCAGAGCAGAACTTGTTACACTCGCTGGTGTGCGCTGGCATGATCTAGGCCGGCGAGAAGAAGAAGGCTGGCTTGGGTATAGCTAGCGAAGAACGAATTGAGGCAAGGTAAGGGAGAGTTGGATTGGGATTAAGAGGGGGAAGTGTGCCGACGAAGGAGAGAAGGAGGACAAATACGAACCTGCTTTGCAGTTGGAGCGTTGGAGCAACCGTGGAGTCTTCACCAACGGTGACAAAGAAGAGAAGCACCTCCTGAACCCACTTACCTTGTTGATTGTAAATCTGTGTCGTGTACCTTTTCCCTCCATTCTGACGGTCGCTGCTGCTGTCTGGACGAAACACTGTGGTCTAGTCTGGTCTGACGGTCAGGGCTATAGAGTCTGAATTCGGTCAGAAGAGTCAACATCTGGTCATGTGTTGTCATCTAGTTTGACGAGTAGAAGTGAAGATAGGATTAGACTGGGAGTTGTGTACTGCCACGTCAGAGTGTAAGTGGCCCGTGAGCAAAGACCATCCTGACGAATTTGATCTGTTCTGAGTATAGCTTCAGCACCTCCCAGCTACCTACACTAATCCCCGATTGAAAAGTGACCCAGCCAGGCAAACGAAAGCATAAAGGAAGTCATCAGCAAAGTGATAAAAAAGGCAGCAAGCAAACAAACAAAAGAAAAAGAATTCCTATTTGCATTTTAGTTATTCCGAAGCAGCGACATCTAGACTTAAAAAAAACAAGCGGACCCGCAGCGGCTCTGCCCGCGGCGAGAAGAGCAGAGACTGCGAGAAGGGAGGACGGGGATGTCATTGATATCTTGGTGTGTACGTGTGCGTCTTTTTTTCCCATCCCCTTCCTTCTTCGACCTGTCCCTCGATCGCCTTTTGCTCTCCCCTATCCCGATTCCATCCCGACCATCCCCCCCTTCCCTTCTTTCGCTCCCCTATCCCGACATCGTCCTCTTGCGTCGTTGTCCCAATTTGTCCCGACCTCCCTCTCCCCTATGCCGACTCCCATCCCGACCTCTCCCTCTTCCCCTTCTTTCCCATCCTCCTCCTCTATCCCGACATGGTCCCAATCTGTCTCCCATCCCGATCTCTCCCTCCTCCCCTTCCTTCGCCGATCTCCCCTATCCCGACTCCCATCCCGACATCTCCCCCCTTCCCTCCATCGCCTTTACTTCTCCCCTATCTGGATGTCCCTCCATAGATCCCTCCTCCCTGCTCCTCCTTTCCGTCGTGTGCCACGTGGCACACGACTGTGCGCTGCAAAAAAAAAAAAAAAAAAAAAACAACCCTCCCCCCTCCCTCCCCTCCTTCCCTTCCCCTCGCCCCCCTTCTCTCCATTGCCTCTCCCTCTCCCCTATCCCAACCTCTCCTCCTCCACTTCCTTCCTCGACCTGTCCATCGATCGCCTTTCGCTCTCCCCTATCCCGGCTTTTCCCCCCTCCCCTTCCTTTCCGTCACCCTCCCCTATCCCGACATCATCCTCTTGCGTCATCATCCCAACCTGTCCCGACCTCTCCGCCCTCCCTTTCCGTCGCCGACCTCCCCTATCCCTCCTTCCTCCTTCTCTATCCCGACTCCCATCCCGACCTCTCCCCCCTTCGCTTCCTTCGCCTACCTCTCCCTCCATCGACTCTGCCTCTCCCGTATCTCGACTCCCATCCCGACCTCTCCCACCTCCCCTTCTTTTTTGCCCTCCTCCTCTATCCCGACTCCCATCCCAACGTCTCCCCCCTTCCCTCCATCGCCTCTACCTCTCCCCTATCCCGACCTCTCCCTCAATAGATCCCTCCTCCCTCCTCCTCCTTTCCGTCGTTCCCTCTCCCGTATCTTGACTCCCATCCCGACCTCTCCCGCCTCCCCTTCTTTTCTGCCCTCCTCCTCTATCCCGACTCCCATCCCAACGTCTCCCCCCTTCCCTCCATCGCCTCTACCTCTCCCCTATACCAACCTTTCCCTCCATAGATCCCTCCTCCCTCCTCCTCCTTTCCGTCGTGTGCCACGTGGCACACTGGTGTGCGGTGCAAAAAAAAAAAAAAAA